CTGTTGTGATCATTGCTGTTTCTGTAGCGCTTGCTCTTGCTAGGAATCTGTTTCCAAGATCATGCTCTTGTTTTCAGCGTATCAACAGCATTAACAAGGATCATGCAGGCACCCTTTGGATTCATGTTTCGGTGGCTGATGCACTGGAACGCACAAGAGTCAGGAATCTTCCCTCCAACGCCGACCTCATCTGCAACTGCATTGATGTGCTTTCACGGCTGAAGGGTTTAGGGTAAAACAAGAGGCTTCAAGTATATACAATTACCTTGCAGCTAAAGGGGCTTGAGAATGGGCTACGACGTCTGGAATGCTGTCCATCCGGCAAGGTCTGGGGTGCTGGCGGCCCTGTCAGGGAACGCAGAATTTGAATGATCAATCGGAAGTCAGCCTCTTTGAAATTCACCTGCATCAGCGCGTGGGGTGGTATGGGGTAGTGCAAGAAGTGTACCCGCGAGCTGCAGTGATATTCCCAAAGAAAACCATGGTTAAATTCTTCTCGAACCCAGCTGCACGACATCTGAAGCAAGTTCGACACTCTGACTAGACGGGGGTGGAAATTGCAAGCTAGATGGAGAATACTGTCTTGCAATCATGGGATGTCTTTGTCGAACTGATGACAAAGACGACTGTTCAAGTACCGTTGCCTGCCATCGGCCGAAGCACTCGCAAAAGTCCTGGCTGCACAGGGCACGTGACGTCAAGCAGGTGACCGTGCTCTCGCGCCCAAGACAAGCCAGAGAGTTTAAGGCTCCTCACGCATGTCATCAACAAAATTCTCAAGTCCGTCTGTCTTGCCATGTCGACATGGAAGTCGTGGAACAGTTTTTGGGATTGAGCAAAATGGCTGGGGCAAGAAAACGCAAACTTTGAAGGAAACTGCTGAAAGAAATGAGCAAAACAGGCACGAGACGAGACCTGGTTTGGTTCGGTAGCAAGCGCTGCTGCGCCGCTCAGCAAGTAGATCCACAACTAGTTCGTTCGCATCGGGTATGCTCGTCAGCACCGGCCTGCTACAAGGGTGGCGACGATGGGTGAAAAGCTGAAATACAAAAAACGACGACGATATCGGTATATCGGCACATGAGTAAGCTCAAAGGAGCCCAGCTTGCCTGCATCTGACAGTTGCGAAGTCCACGGCACCTCTCTATAGCTTGGACTCGGATGGAAACATGAGGCTGATGGGATCTCTGTATCAAGGACCTCCTAGGCGCTCATGTATCCGAGGATAGACTCACGGCCGTCAGCTTCTCATGGAGGCTTTCACGTCGTGCAGGCTGTTTGATCTGCTGGGGCTTGCAGGGTCAGAGCTCATGTCCCAGTTGAGTGCAACCCCTGAATTCCGGAGTTGCTGGCTAAACCCCGCGTCTGATGAAAGAATTGAGAGGCCGTCCATACCTCCGTAGTGCTCTCGCCACATCGGAACCAACACCCAGCAAGCCATGAACACCACCTCATGCCATCAAATCCTAGACTCCTGAAAAAGCACTCCGAAAATTCAAGGCGTGGCAGCCTGAAGGGAGCCACGCCAGCAGCATAAGTCGGATGCTCTGAAGGCTGTTTCCATATTTGTGTATATAGATGTCATGGCCGCTATGTGCAAAATCCCTGTCCCAGATACTCTTGGCATTTCAGGCATCGGTAATGCTAGCAGTCTGGCTCTTCAAGGGGGAAATGGCACACGAATCGCTGAATAGGGTGCTCAAGGGCCGCGGCTTGCTGCACTTGATCTCCTGTGAATGCCAGGCCTGGAACGCAAACGAGCCCTATCTAAATTTTGAGGTTACCCCATGTAGGTGTTAGGGCTGGATTCTTGGAGATATGCTCTGTTCAGGCTTTCAACGTCATCTGTACGGGGCCATGTGTCTGTGGCATTGTGTGGTTCTGTGCAGACGTGCATCCACCCTCTTCCCGGTTCACACTTCCTCTCTCATCAAAGCCTCTGTTGGAAAGGGTCCTCAGCGGTGGACTAGCCAGAATGGGGTGCTTTTGCCGTTGTTGCGCAAGGTTATGCATATCGAGGCTTTCTTGCTCAACAAAAGAAGCATGAAGCTGCAGAACTTGAGCTTCAGGCGGTTTCCTCATGTGTCGGCACTCGGAAGCAGACTTCAACACCGTGCTTCTCTCTGCTTTATCCTGTCTGGACCATGATGTGCCCAACCACGACATTGGGAACGTGGAGAAAGGACTTACGTGTCAAAAACGATAGATACTGCGGCTGCTGCTGGGAGTGTTGAGGCTGTCGTCGTGGTGGTTGTGGTTGTGGCTGTGGTTGAGGTCGCTGTTGTGGTTGTTGTTGCGGTTGTAGTTCAGTAGTGGTTGTGGTTGAGGATGTGGTGGTGCTTGCTGTTTCGTGGCTGTCGTTGTTCTTCCTCTGTTTCTCTTCTCGGCAGTACTCATATAACCCTCCCCGTTCGTGGAAAACCGGAGTTTGGCAGATCGCAGAATTGGCTCTGCTCCAACGTCGTCCCGGAAGCTTGTGGCGGGGCTTCGTTGAAGTGAACTTCCAGCCCTGGGACCTCGCTTCGTCATCTTGATGGGGGCCCTTCCCGTTTGACTGGCTTCTGTAGCCCCACATGCATGTGCAGGCTTCATGCCATGCTAGGGGTCGCCATGCGCTGCTGAATTCCAAGCTGTGCCTAAATAATATCATCTACAAGACTGCGCAAAATCTACACTTTGCAGAGTTTTCTGGGTGAACCCAGGATGCGGCAGAACGAGTATGCGTTTTCTAGCACTTTTTAAGTCAGCTCGTGCTTACATAGCTTTGTGGAGCCCTCCGTTTACGTGCGCGAGTTTGTCATCGTGTTTTCTTCGACAGGGCAGGCGGCATGCGGCTGGATGCTTGACATGCCGGAAGCCTGGATGGTGCTGTGGAAGAGGTCAACGAGGCGTGCCTCCATTCCATCCTGGTCGCAACGAGAGAGACAGAGGTTGAGTTTCAGCTCTTTCTGCATTGAGGAGAGGAAACCGTGCTCGTCTGCCACGTCATCCCGCGGGATTGTCAAAGTCAAGGCCAAGGGTCCATGGCAAATATACTCGCAAGAAAAACCTGCATCCCGAAACCTTCGACATCACAGGCGACTGGGCACTGCATGCCGACATTCGACGAGCAAGTAGGAAGCTCACCTCTAAACTCGCCTACACACATAGCCACGTGCCTTGCGAAATCCCCAAATCGGATCGCAACGTTTAACAAACAGTTACACCGGCTGCTGCTAACCCATGAGGATGCCTTGTTGTACACACCGTCGCAGTTCTGGCACACCTGAGAATTCGAGCCGTATCATTTAGGAGGCACGTGAGCCGGGCTAGAATCAAGCACGCACTTTTGAACATGTAGTGCCTCACCCAGCGGTTCTCAAAAAGCCATGTAAGCAGATATCTCAAGCACAGGCTCCAACGGACCCCGCTAGTAACGGTATCCTGATGTGAACGTAAAGAACTTTCACGGCCGAAGCGAACTCTTACCAGCGTGGGGTTCCACAATCTCAGGCGACTCTATGGGCCTAGGACCTCGGACTCATCTTATGTCCGATACATGCGGACATCAGATGGTTTCAGACGGATTCTGCAGCGGCACTTCCGCTAACATTGCGAACCTTTCACTTTTGGTTTTCCGAAAATTGGCAGTGAACACGTGCTTGAAGATTCAATCAGCCCTAGCATCAAAGCCACACCTGCCCTGGGTCCCCAGCTGCATACCCTGCCCTACATCCGTGTCCAGATCGAAAACTTACTGGTCGCATCACAAGTACGTGACCAACCTCAAATCTGCCAACTCAACACCTAGTCCAGCCCGGACGCTAAGGAACCCTTCTCGTGACCCCCCCAAATGAGGGAGACATCTAAGATACCTCAGCCCAAGCCCAAAGGTTCTGAGCGGTGCACCCAGAGTCCTGGGGCGCGATGGGGGTGCGACGTGACATCCACGTGTTTAGCGACGCAGCACCTGCTCGAAGACTGTGGGCAGGAAGTCTCGATCCCTAGCTCCGCACCTGTCAGTGACATACCACATCCCGTAGTATGTCTTGAGAACCTGCGCAGCCACAAAGCCTCGAAACTTCGCAGCTGGCATAGTCGGATTTATTACCTTCAAGCACCCAGGCTCTAGTTCTCTATTCTCTATTTTCCGATAACTGATTTTCGCCTTGGGGAGCTGTGTTCAATTCATGTCCATGTGATAGCAATAACCAATGATTGCACTGGTGCTGGTACTGGTAGTGGGGCTGCTTCGTTTCGGAGAAAGCCTACTCGGTTCGTCTCTTCGCTCCTCGAGCCTTTGACGAAGCTTTTGCAATGTTCTGTCTTCCTTGTTACTTGTTGATCTGTTCATCGTGCTAGTAGACATGCTCTAAGCGCGTCGTCGCTGGTGCCGTTGTTTCAGCAGGCTTTAGTCGCACAGCGGGTTCTGCTGCGGCCTTCAGATGCCAACATCACATGTTTACATTTTTGTATTATACTAAGGACCCAAAAAGGGACCATAATTTCGACAACCACCCATGTTTACATTTTTTGCTCACTTGTGCTTGTCGGCCTTTCTCAACGCCCGCTGTCCTTGTTATTTCTGATACTTCATCCACGTCTGCCCTCTCGAAGCATCCTGTCGTTGATACAACGACAGTGATGTTGGCGGCACCGCCTGATTTGTGCAGTTCCCTCCATTTTGTAACTATAATCGAAGACATCGTGAGTTAAAGTTGTGCCGCCCAGTGGACTACTCTGTTTTGTGCTGTTTGCAACCCATGCCTTTGATGATCTACTTTGTTCCACCATTGGACTTCACCATCCCTTATGCTGAAATATGTGTCATGGGGATGACCGCCTTTCAGGTCGCGGAGTTTGATATCAAGGGGCAAGGACCCATGTTCGCAATAGAAACTTTGAATCCCAGACCTTCTCTGGCAATGCACCGGCACATGGCCTCTTCTGGCCGGGACAATGGACCCGTATTCTCAAGCCCTGAACCCCGGAGCTCAACGGCCCAAAGCTGCAGCATGCACCTGCCGCAACGAACGTCGCGAAGGATCAGAGGGAAGCAAGGCTTCTCGAAGTCAAGACCCTGCTGGAAAGAGCTCACCTCGGCAAAAGACAACGATCTGTGACTTACTCATGTCGCACAATTACGTCTGCCTGTTTCATATGTGGGAAATCTTGCCTTAGAGTTGGGAACGGCAGCACACGGCAGTTGTCAGAACGTCAACTGCGCAAGTCTTGTCGCAGAAAAATGACGACAAAGCTTTGGGCGATCGAGAGTTGCCGAGAAAAAACCGTAGCTGATGCACTACACACAATAGAGGAGAGTGTGTTACTTCACCACCCTACTCTGACATTGTGAACATCGGGTTCAGCGCCTACCATTTCAACCTCACCCTGTGATGTGCCACGCCTGTCAGACGACTTAGCACTCAACAAGACTCAACGCTATGCGGCAGCAAAATCCACCTGCTAGTACAGCTTCCTTGCCACGCAACATCTTTCAGTGCCAAGGCTTCGGAACGTTGTTCGTTGGTCCTTCCCTCGACACCTTGCGTGAATTGAACACATCTTCGCACGGAAAAAGACGTGGACGTGGTACCGTACTTTATCAGTCTTTGCTGCTGCTGCTGGTTGTTGATAGTGCGGATGCTTCGTGTTGGTACCAAAGCTTTTTGGCCTCAGGTGCGATCTGGCACACAAGCCGCAGCACATTGAAATGAGCAGCGAAACCCCCTGTAAATCATGCTGTGCAAACCTTTTCAGGCGAACACCCCGTGTTTCGGGGGCCCAGTCTTCCTACTAGTAGCAGCTGCTCGAGCAACTCGGACGTGCCACCGCGCCACCACCTTCTGAAAAACACATTCGCCTCGGCTCGGGCCCAGCGACACCGTTTGACCTTCCCTCCGACCGGCCCCAACTTTCGACTTTCCCCGGCTCTCCCTGCTCTACCGCCCCTTGCCCCGCTTTACTCATCCCGGCCGAGGCGGACGATGTTAAGCGTTTACGACTAAACAACTTGGTAATCAGAGTGGTGCTGAGCGTCTCGACTTCAGGATCCGTCAAATGCAATCCAAGCACAGACGCCAGCTGTAATCTACCCTTCGTGGAAGCTGCTCGGTTGCTAACATTCAACCCATTCATCCTGAACAAGAGTATTTCAGTATGTTGGTGCCGCGCCTCGTTCTTGCCGACACCTGCCCCTTTTCACATGGGCACATAACCGCAACCACGTGTCTCGGTTTGATTTCAGAGGAAGCTGGGGTTGTCTCAATTCAGGCCCGCGCCCGCAGCTTCTGACACATCAGGTCCCGCAGCTGCTCCACCTGCTTTCTTCGAAACGGGCTTTAGTCTCAGGCCTCAGGCGTCTCCGGACACAAGTCCAAGCTTGCTTTGTGAAGGATCTGTATGGACACCGTAGCTCGGGGTTTCAGCAAAGCAAGGAAGGACATGCAGAAGGTCTGGAACAAGGCGAAGCAAGAACATTGATCCCAAGTGCATCGCAGACCTGCACTACTTCACTACTGCTTCTTGCTACTGCTTCTCACAACACACTTCAGCAGCTAGCGTGCAGAGCCAGCCCTGTTAGCTGACATCTCTGAGGATACAGTGGCATTCATTCCGCTCCAAAGGACGGCCAAATATGCTTTGATAGCACGAGGCAACAATACCGACTTCAGCCCATCGGACTCTGGTTGGCCTGAATCGTGCTCTCAACGGAATAGTCAGTGCTACGTCACCGACGACATCCATTCGTCATGCAAGGACATAATGACCGTGTCTGGGAAAGCAGCTTAGGCAGTGCACGAATCCGACCTGGTCTAAGATACAGTCCTCCAGCTTGTAGACCTGGATGATAGCCTGATCGTTCACTGGGATCTCACATGCTGAAGTTTTTCTGGGTGCGACATGGGCTCTGTATGTTGATTTTGAGAGTTTCTGAAAGCTACCAGGCTGTCATCAATACGGACATGCTTGACTCGACGGCTTCCCGAAGAGTTGGCGCGGCCACCTGCCGAGCCCTTGTGAAAAAACAGTTGGCCGGACTGCCGGCTGCAATAAGAGCAGTGGGCGCCCCGTGGCCCTCTATGGGAGGATTTTACTTTGCCATGTGCTACCCGAGCAACACACCGTTGGCAACACTCGTAGTCATTGAAACCCTGCAGCTGACCTCAAGTCGAACAGTCGAAGGCATCTGAGGTCGCCGCACGCAAGGCCTCGAAATCGATGGCGCCAGGTGGCGCCCTCCTCGCAGATCCAACGAATGCGTGGCGCTGACCGAGCCCAGGGCTCAGTGGTCAGGGTTTTCGGAAGAGCATTTGGTTGGTGCACTTGATCGGTTGGAATGGAAATCGGAGACTGTGTGCAACGTTATCATGTCATGGTTCGACTGTTTAGGCATGGCTGCATGGTGCTTTCTTCTCTGAGCTGTCGCAAGCAGGCCATGCCCAGGAAGATTGACTGGAACATCGCACCTACTGGAATGCTCGGACATCGACCAGAAGACGGCACACCGATTCGACTGCGTGAATCAGAGTCACCGACGTGAGCCGTGAGCAGGATCCGATCGGTCTTTCGATACTGGTCCAAGTGTGGTCTTGTGCGCGTCGATCTCTGTCCTGCTTAATATGTCGGTCATTGTGCTGCCAGCTCAGCTTGTCAGCCGGTCTTTTGTGTCGTCTGCAGCTCGGGGTGTTCAGATCACCACGCGGGCTGGTATTCCGGTCGGCTCTGTGTGGGGTCTCAAACACTGTACAAACGGAAACCATGAACACTCTCGGGGCACCATTGAACCCGAACAGCGACCGGCACTGACGGGCTAATTGTCGACACAAGGACCCTGACATAGCCTGCAACAACGACCACGAAACTGGCCGGGAGCCGAAGCTCGCACGGTCACACATGGCCGGAACACCGAGGAGTCAAGTCAGCTAGCTGAAACGGAGTGTGTTTGCTGCGACCCCTGTCCAAAATCAATGTGCGTGTTTGAACACTAACGGGATACAGCCTGAGGCAGTCCTGCAAGAGACCCCCGAATCAGATTGGGTATAAACGAACCAAGCACAAAACTCTCTAACCCCCTGGCTCCAACTCTTCTCTCCAGACGCTGTTCTGAAGGTTCGTTGACGTGAATCTGAGCTTTCAGGCGCAGGCTACTGAATGTAGAATTGCAAGCGGCTCAAGGAAGCGCCTTCCGGGCACTTCGGGGAAGGCCCATCGCCGCTCGATCTGGCGCCTGGGAAGTTGGCTTGAGGCCACAGCTTGGCATTGTGGAGGCTCGCTGCGCCCGCTCATCAACAGCAGCAAACCCAAAACAGTGCAAGCTGCTGTCAAAAGCTGCGGTGCACACGCTCAAAAGTCAGTCACATGTGGGAGTTCAGCCCTTGGAGTAAACGATCGGTATAGAGATAGCTTAGCGGCGGTTGTAGTAGCCGTCGTCGTTGTGTCGTAGTAGTGTAGGAGTAGGAGTAGTAGTAGTA